GTCAAACGGAAGTTAAATGCTCGTGTTGATGGGGATAGGGGGGTAGGGAGGATTGTGCGTTCAAATCCTCATTAGTCGCTTTTTCGCGCTCAATCTTTAAGCGAGCACCTAAAAGGCAGAATCTGCTCTGATGTCAAAATACTTCACGACGGCTTCTCATATACCTTCTGGGCGAGCCAAACATGAACAGAGAACGTTGGAAACGCTGCAGCTGGATGTCGTTCAAAGAGCTGACAGAAAAAATGGTAAGGCCGACATCTAAAAATTGGCGGTCTAGTCAACCAAATTGATATGCAGAAAAGTGCACCAAAGGGCGAGAAACAATCAGGCCCATGGAGCTTTTGATGAGCACGATTGACCGTGAGATCACGATTCGTCGCGGCAATGCCAGACTTAAGGCGTGGCCCGGTCTTGTTCGACACTTCGAATCTAGGCTGCCTTTTATAGGTGCAGTTACTAAGCGGTAAAAACGTCAATAAGGTCTCATAGAGCATTACCTAAGAAGTGCTTAGTCAGTGCACTCTATCACATAGATCTCCCGCATTTCTAAAAAGGCAGAAGCTTTCACCAGCTAAACTAACCGCGATCTGCCTGATAAGTGCTTGAGTGACAGGTAGTGAAACAGCCTTTGGCGAGGGCTAGTTGCAAAATAGGCAGTCCCTCGGTTCTGAAACGTAGGCGGTCGTGGCGGCACTTCAACAGAGAAAATGTCTCTCATAAAAAGGAAGGCTTCACTACCCGTCCTGGCTCAATCCTAGAACCTTACGGTGGTATGCCAAAGGGGCGAATGGAGACGTTCAGGTTAGAATGCAAAAACTGCAGGATGCCATCCCCTCAGCAAGCGGGCTTGCGCAAACACTGCACGGCGACTTAATTGATTTTTAAAACAGCCGGGAGCAAGCTATAGTTAATGAGCTATGCTTTGACTTGTCAATGACCAAAGGAGAGCAAGTTCTTGCTTAGAAAAAACAATTTTTGGCTGTCTGAAGCGCTCTAAGCACTTCGTATAGTAAATAGGAACTTGCAGAGCACACTTACGATATGTCAGAGGAGTTTTTTTTAAACAGTTTTAGTTTCTGAACTTTCTGTCTACTTTCCATTTGCGAGGAGGCTAAGGTGTTTAGGAAATAGGTCAGCCGAGATCTGACGCAGGAACTCCTCATAGTTTTGGCGTGTAGGTCATCCACCAAGTTCTGTATTAGAAGTGAACCGCCGACGACCTATAATTGTAAGGGATCGGAAAGTCTTATCGCCTGAGTTCATGGATATACCTTGACAGCTGCAGAGCTGCGTCCATCCTATGTTGGTAAAAGTACTGATCTTTGTAGCTGGGGATATCATCGCCAGCACATTTATGCTCTTTATAGACTATGTGTTATATGTACTATATAAAAGTGTGCCATATTTTGTATAGGCTATATATGTATGACAGAATAGCTTTTACGACCTAGGTAGTATGCATTCTGAGATGGTATAATAAAAGGAGAAGACTCGTAGGAAAGTCAGGATGTGCTCGTAAATTTCAAATCGTTTACAACAACCCATCGTCCGACAAAATGAACATTGACGATCGCAACCGACAGGACAACGAGTCCGTGGCTCAGTGCTTCGAGGCGATGGACTTCTCATTAATAGGTCGCTTGATCTATCCTCAGGTGTTCCACACTTATGAGCTGGGTATGGCTAGATGACGACGACTAATAAGCCACAAACGGCCATCCCAGTTTCCCTTGTCCTCTCCTTCTTCCATATTTCCATCTTCCTCCTACTCCATTCCCTTCCTCTCTTCTTACTTACCGATTTATTCATAATCATCATCATCAGCATCACGTGTTCCCGTCTTTATCCGAAACACTGCTCGAGGTATACGAAGTACTGCAGTTTAGCCGGATATCCCTCTAAACATTCCTGCATTACGCGGCGGATAGCACATTTCGAGCTGATAACATTTGCAAGTAGTCACGTATGAAAAAATACTGGACGGGGTCTATGCCAGTTTTCGATCATTTTAGTAAAGGAAGGATTTTAGTTGCCGATTTTATGTGTAAGCTGCAGGGACAGGCAGTGTGTGGAGAAACAAGATGCACTTTAGTACGCGTTAGTCATGTGCAAACCGACGTAAACGTGCGGCAATAAGGTGAACGAAAAAAATGAATGCTCTCGAGAAAGATGTCGTCTGATCCGTATAGATGTAACTGCTATCGTCAAACCGAGGTTCCGACGCTCACAGAAAGTGCACATCACCTGTTCTGCCCCATTTTGTATTCCGTTATGGCACATTTGCCTAACTCATTACTGAAGCATCACTCAAGATGCACCAGCCTACGAAAAGACAGGCAGATTATTTGCCTATTTCAACTTAAATTTCTTGGGATACCCGTTGTGAAATTC